ACGTAACTTTGGGGGTTTACCTTCTACTAACCATTAGAGTTATATCGAGTTGCTGCTCGTCCAAACATAATGGTTGGATATATAATCTTCAAATGATTGATGCATCTGAACCTGGCAATCAATAAACAAAATCATCAAAGTCGAATAACTTCTTAAAATGCATTTGAAAGCTTCTGTTCAATCCCTCGTGCGCATTTGTCATAAGCAAAAGGTCTCCTTTAACAAAAAAAAAACTGCTTAAATAACATTTGGCCTATTAAGAAATGTCACACTGCTTATGGGAGTGACAAGCTGTGTACCTGGGACAAGGTAAAGGTTTTGTGCTCATCAATGCCGGTTTGAAGCCTGCCTCGGGGCTTAACATTACAGAGATTGCTGGAACAGGTTGCAGGGGTCCTTTAGCACTGTGAGCCTACAGTGCTGCCTGAAGGGGTACCATGGAAACCAAGCTTGACAGGCTCCAGGGGACCTGCCACTTGCTTCAGGCCCTGCCTTTGACAGTCTGATGAAGACATCACAGCCATCTCAAAGGATGGACAACCGAGTCAGTTTGGATGCTGGGGATTGGACCTGACCTACAGCGGCTGACAGGATGATTCCCTCACACACTGTAACCTGAAATTGCTTTAAAAATGGTAGCCATTATTCTAATAGATTCACTTTGAAGAACGTGATGATTGGGCATTGCCATCAACGGAGGAATCTGAGTAACTGGAGTTTCAGGATAGCCTTTTTACTCAAGAAATAGCAATTGCTCTTTATTGAAACAGTCTCCTGGTGACCTAAATCAAACTGCTTGGTAAAATTCCTTTTAAGTTGAAGGAACATTTTTAGAATGTTTGTTTCCTCCAATCATATCTGTTGATGCACCGATAAAAGTTAAAGTACATTTACATAGTAAAATGCCATTAAACTTATTGTAATAAGTGATTAATTAAACTTATTGTAATAAATAATCGGGAACAGATTTCAAATACACTCTCTTTAAAGTTTCTCCGGCGTTACTAAATATCCCTAGTTTATGCACTTTGTAGTTATCGGTTTACCTAGCAGTAAATAGGAACGTAGTTGTTAGTCAGTTGGTGGATCACTTTTCTGGGGGTAGTAATCCTTTCTAAAAAAAATTAAAAATATAATAATTTGGTCACTCAATCCATGACTGTTTGTCAGACACTGTTGTGTGCAATTGGCTGCCGCTTTTCGCCTACGAAATGCAGTCAATTCACTCTACAGTATATTCGGTGAAGCGCTTTGAGATGTCTTGAACATGTGATAATATCAAATGCAAGGATTATTATCATTATTGATTTAGTCAACATTTTTGTTTTGTTAGCCTACAATACAACGGCCCAGCTACATCTCGAGTCAAAAGAAAACATATGCGTTTCATTCAACAAACATTTAGGCATTTGGTTTCAACATAATGAGGAAGAAATTGTAGTAGGAAAATTCATTAAAGATTGCATTTGTCATAATGGGAAATGTTGCAATGCACCCAGACTGGAAGGATGAAGTAAAACCATACCCTTTCCACTTCACGCCTATGTGTTATCATTACGTTCGCCTACAAAATACTGTCACTACACTTTACAGTATATCCTATAAAGCTCTTTAAGATGTCCTCCCTACATGAAAGGTGCTATATCAAATGCAAGGATTATGATTATTATTACCTCTCTCGTTGCTTTCAGAAGAGCTATCGCGGATGGAGAGTGAAATAGTGAAGAAAAGCATTTGGTATTCATATATCTCATAAGCTATTACTTTCACTACAAAGAGTTCTGTCAAACATTGATAAGGTCCAGAATCTCAAGACCCACACGATTTATCGCAGCAGTTATAGACAACTTCTTTAGAAGATCAAAGCAGGGACAGCAGACACTTATTCTACATCTCCCACGATTTTTTTATTACTACTTTCTAACGAAAAAATTGCACAAATATCATAGTATAGACGTTGAATACTTTACATGCAAGTAAATTTGCATGCAAGGGTTACATGCAAGTAAATTTGTTTTGAAATTTAGGATAAGTAAAGCTAACTTGTAAGTTGAATTCATGACAAATATAGAGAAGAGCATTCATTTTTTTTTAAAAGATGGTTTAACAACAAAGAACTATCAGAAAAAAAGTAATGCGTTTATTGACCAAAAAAAGACTAAATCTTGATAAAATACCTAAAGCAAAGACCTTAGTAGTCCTCCTACCACAATTAAATCCCTGTTATCACGTGGCAGTCAAGTTACCTTAGGACATCATTAAAATTATTTTCAGTGTGAACATAGAAAAAGTCCCAGGGAAGATAACAACAGAAAATGAGAGATACTATTGAGATGCAGTCAAACCGACAATCCTCATAGTACTTCTCTGAAGTGTCAGTATCAGCACTGAATACTGAGAAGCTCTTACTAAAATTCTATTGTGATCGCTTCACTGTCACCTAGTAATGACTTGATAATTCATTGCTACTTTAATGCGCTATAGGACAGACATGGTGGTTGGGGGGGGGGGGGGTTGGAAGGGGGATGGAAGGGGAGACAAGAGATGGAGCATGTGATGTCGCTTTACATTTTCTTCTCTCGTACATCCAGCCTAGCTGGTTTATCATAATTCAGTCACTTATAAAGTACTTCAAAAGATGGTAAAAATGAGTTGGAGGAAAGTTTCTTGTGTGGGTGTTTGGGGTCTATTCTGAGAACCAATGTGATGCACATTGATGTGATGGTTGGTTTGAACAGCAGCTTTTTAAAAAGCTTTACCAAATCATACTATGTGCGGCTTCTAAAATCTTTATCGCCCCCCTCAAAACTCCAACGTGCGCATCTCAAGCAAGGTCCACAGTATGCCTCGCAGACTGAAGATTTCCCCTTGGGTATAGTAGGTACAGCATGCTCGCTTCAAATGCACTGTTTGGAGCAGGGTTAAAGGGCTTTAAAAATGCCATGACCCTATCCATTAAAGTGAATGCCTGAACTTTCATCATAACTGCTGCATTACAGAGGCATAGACATTAGACAGCTTTCAGTGAGCACCCTTTAACCCTTTCACGAGCGCAGACCTGTATTTACATTTGAGCGAATTATTATACTGTCCAGATGACATGACTCAAGATTAATCTTTGAATGGCTATTTTCATCCTCCTCCTCTCTTCTCCCCTCTCCCCCCACTGCACCCCACCTCTTTGTTTAAACGATGCAATTCTATGGTTTACATCTTGCTGCCACTTTGACAAAGCCGTTCAGTTAAAATGAACTTGTCAATAAAGAAATGCAACATTCGGAGATCACCTGTGTGATTAGAACCAGCATACGGAAGAATGAACTCTTGTGCACAGATCCAGGAACACACGCATTCTTTCAAAAAGTGGTGAAAAAAAGCAGGAAACAATAAAAGAGGCAATCTTCCCCTGCCCGCCACCACTCCCTTCTCTCTCTCTCTCCCTCACACACAACACACACACACTTGATCTGCTTGTTATTTTAAAAATTCAGCTTTTCTCCTTCCTAACCAATACCAACATTTGCTGAAATATTGCTAACACAGACTATAGGAATACAGCTCATTGCTCGAACAGTCGGGATAAGTCTCTTGGGCTAGGATGGCCTTTTACCCTATGGTGACCAGAGGTGTACGGCTTATTCCAGGTAATAATAATAATAATTATTACCCAGCTGAGGTCAATTTGGACAACAGTAGCAGTCTATACTGATTCCCCCAGCTTGGTGTGATCTACACATTTAACTGCCTTGACTGAGTCGGTGAATCCAGGTCACCTATGTAAAATGAGTGTGAGAAGGATCGCGGAACAAAGCCTAGAAGGCACCCCTCAACACCTTTTGATTTCAGCCTCTTATGACTTACCCTCTGCTTACTTCATTTACGCTGCTTTTCTTGTTAACTTGGAGATAAACATCAAGAAAACATGCAATTCATCTCAATAGGATTAATGTGCAAACATCTGCTGCAGTCAAGTTATCAATACGCTGCAATAATTTATTAAAGAGAAATTTATTCCAAAAGAGTGGCTCATAGCGCCTCATGTAGTGCTTGCAACCATTCTGCTATCAGATTCACTCACCTAGTTTTTTCCAGTTACTTTCACAACCAACTTTCCCATGATAGTAAAAATGAGTGAACCATAGAAAAATTGTGCAAACTGACACATGCTTTTAGAATATGTAAACAGTGGAGTTGTGAGAGTGGGGTAGGTAAAGGAAGCATTCTGGCACATAGCCAACATCTGTTGGCAATCTCACTTAAACATTAACCCTCCCAGTGCTGCTTTTCTCTCATTTCTTTCAGTCACAGAACATCTGTTGGCAGATTTTAATTAAGCTTTTCAATTAGAAATGTTAAGTGGAAAATACGCTTTCCAGTAGCTGCAGCTTGGAAGCATTCGAATCAACACATTGTACAGTGCTATGTTGTGGAAGTTATGCTGGAGCTATGGTAGAATTTGTTCATGTCCACAAGGCTGTGGGTTCAAGCCTTACCAAGAACTTGACACTTGAGGTTGCTGACTCCCTGGACCCAAAGCTGGCTAACCCCCTCCCACGAGCACTGAGCTTTATCCTCTGTCAGTCAGGTCACTAGGTGTGTGACTAGGTTTGTGACTCAAAGCTTCTCACCTTTGGGAAAACTAACACGCTGAAGGAATAATACCGGCCAGACAACCACACATCCTCCCCTTCACTCTTTGGAGGGATTGCTTATTGCAACTGTTTTTTTTCTGAATACTGCAAAGATCGGATTCCGGACTTAGAAACCTTTAAAAAGGTTAAGAACAAAGGAATCTGTCTCAAAAGACTGAGGCTGTGGAGTATTCGGTGATTTGTTCATCTGGCCTCCTAGATAGGAAGATATCATGTCGAAGGGAACAGAAACTATTCGATGGAGAGGGGGAGGGGAAGGAAGGAAAGGAGGAAACAGAATAAAAACAATTTTAATTAGAAAATGAGAGACAAGATGCTAAAAATAAAATTCAATTTTATTCTGTGCCAGTCAATACAAATGTTGCATAATTTATAAAAGTTTCAGATGCATTTATTGTGGAATATTTATTTCAGATATGTTCTAGTCTTCTTAAAGATCAGAGAGCAGAAATTATTCTTAAAGTCAAGACAAAGCATTTTAGTTTTGCCTCTTTGTGGACAACCATGCGGCTGTTACTTTTGCACATGGTGCCACCCAAAACTACAATTGTGAATTAAAGACTAAACAGATCAATCTCTGCCCAAGTGGACTTGCTGCCTGTTTTCTTCCATTGCCAGCAGGAGAAAACCAATGGAAGAATCATAAGACATTTGCTGATGGGCTGTTTTTTTAAAAAAAGGAAACCAATGTTTTGGTATGAAAACCCAAATTATACATGCTACGAATGACTGAAATCAAGTTCAATGGAGGACCTGATTCCAGGCTGTAATTAATGGCTATGGCCTTTCTATCTTGTCTCCTGTTTACTGTGTAACACCCTGTTTCAGCAATGGCCCCATATTCCCAAACGATTCATTGACCCAACAGAAGGGAAATTTACAATCAATGGTAAAAGATAAACTGACTTGAATGGAAAGTGAATTTACCAATCTCAATATCACCAGCTGGAAAATTGTGTCCATGATTTCAAGAAAAGAAAGGAGTTAGTTTCTAAGCATTTGGTTTCTTTAATATAATGGCAAAATAGATGTTTAATTACTTTAATGGCTGAATAGGTTACATTCATGTACCTTATTTAAAGGGATGTGTTGTATCAATTTCGACGTGGAGACATATTTTTTAATACTATCATCAATCTACAGCACAAAAATATATCTAAATGCATTTTACCATACTGGTGGCTGTATGTAAAATGAATTGAGCAATCTTAATATAATTCTTAGTGGTTATGAATAAACATAAAGCTAGCCTTAATCTAGCAGCAAAACCACAAACAGAAAGGATTGCTGGTGTATTCAATGGAATGCTGGTGGAATGGGCAGGGATGTGTTTTCTTCTGGTGTTAGAACTGAAACCCATTTTTGGACAGACCTTTGCACTGAATCCAGCAAACAAAATCGAAATTACAATACAAGGAAGCCTTTAAATTTGCATTGTTTTCACAGATCCTTTGCAGTTTACAAACTACCAGCAATCAGATCAGTGAGACCATAGTTAAAAGACAGATGAAAATCAATAAAAGCACCAAACCAACATTTGCATATTGATCAAAGATGAAGCCAGAGGTTATACTACTTCTAGTTCCTTATATCAAAGGTCAATTGACCATCGCCACCCAAATCATACAGCAGCCAGATTGAATGGAATTACTTTTCCAGTCTCTCTGAAGACGGTCTCTGCCAGCCTTGCAATTCTCAGACTCCTGGCTGTGATAAACAACCGTACTTACTGCACTTGTGCAAGGGGAATGATCAAATAAAATAGGACAGAAACAAACACAGCTGTGATCTAAAATATATTTATGATCGAATGACTTTAATAATATAGATACACACCGGAATAAAGTCATTTTGTCAAATATAAGTGAATTTCCTTCATAGGCAGAATACATCGTTTTTGTTTCCTATGGACTATGCTAACAATGTCTCAGTCAGCTGTTTTTGTGTGGCACATAAGGAAGAACAGAAAAAGCGTGGCAAACCCTGCTCTTCAGAAAATACTGCAAAGCTCTTAAGACTGAGATGAAATACCTCCAACAACAACATGTAGAGTAGTATTAACAACCTGCTGTTTTCTATAATTTGAAACTAAGTTTTCTCTCTCCCTCTCTAGTTTCCCCCCGCCATGGTATGCACCATTCAGTTCACTAAAGGGCTACAAGGAAAAGATCAGGCTGCTAACCAGTGCTGCACTTGACCAGGGCCACTTGGAGGTTCAGGGACCCTCAATCTCTGGTTTGCACTCTGTCCCTCAAGAGACATGCCTTGCTACTGCTCAGCAGTTATTCCACATGCTTTGCTTGGGAACAAAGAGCACACCTTGCACAGCCAAAGTAGCGAGAGTTAATCCATTTTGATAAATACCTCGAGTCACCAAGTCGAGTCCCACCAAATAGGGAAGGGAGAAGACTCTCGAATTTGCCAAGCTGCCCAACAATGGGCTAATCCCTCCTGGAAGTGCTGAAGTGGAATTCTCCTGCTTCTCCTGACAAGGTGTGGAGCTGAAAGCAGGCCAGGAAGCTGCAAGAAACAGCTTTGCTGTTCAAGCACAGATTGCATAAAACAGAAACATTGCCATTTTATTAAATATATTTGCAGCAAGTCCAAACCTGCACCTAGTTCTAAAGCTTTTTTTCCCCCCAAAACAGGATTAAACCTGAAATTTATTAAGTTGGTTCAGGGAAACATTTTGAAATAAAGGTTTATGCTGAGTTAGAATAGGACTGGAGGGGTGTAATCCAAAGATTCTAGTCAGGGATTGGAGATACACACACACACACACACTCAGGCACATCATCCTGCTATATTCCTATCACAGCAGCTGACATTTTACATTTAGGATCAGGAACCCTCAAAGATATCACAGTTTTCTTAGAAAACCTCACTTGTGATAACATACAAACCAAACTTTCTCCTAGCACCTGAGACCTTGAGAGCAAACATCAAAAATGGTTATAATGCAAACGAACAGCAAATAAAAAATCACGGCCGTTTGGCACTTTAATCCGTATCTGATTCAATGTGAAACAGAGGCGTTAACTACAGATCGATGTCACTATGATTGACAACATTGATAAAATGTTTAACAGCAAAGGCATTATGAGACGTTGATACAAAAGGTTACAATATCTCAAAAATTACTGACATTAAAATGAGAGTATTGGTAATCAACCAAATTTAGTTTTTTTTTAAGACTCTGAGAAAGAGCAGCACTAAGAAAGCTCGATAGCAAATTAATTCAAAAATACAAATGAAACCTAACTTTCTATAGCATTTTTCTACCTCTTTAACAATGCATTGCAATTTTACAACTTTTTGTATCATATTCATTTCCATATTTGCCCCTAACCTCAGCATTGATCCTCTCTGTAACTTCTCAACATGAAGTTAATCATTAAGGTGTCAGAATATATTGTCCATTTAATTGTTTCTAAATGATCACAATTTAACATAATCGCACAGTATTCACCATCAGGATAGTAAATAAACTATGTAACTCTTTAAGAATTGCAACAAAAACTGTCTGTAACGTCTTGAACGGGATGTGAGAGATTGATAAGTATGAAGGCAACAATGTACTCAGTAAATGAAAAAAGAAAAGAAGTTCACTTGTATTTTTAAATGAAACAGAACTAATTTCATGATGTAAAAGTGCGAATGGAAAAAGAAAAGATGACATAGGAGAAAAATTCTTATAAAATACAATATATACATTATAGTGCTAAAGGATCTTAATATCTTGAAAATGTTACATTCAACTTGTGTGCAGATTGTGCATGTTCAACGTAGAGTATTGCACATCTTTCCGCTGGTATAGAGTCACTTTTAAACCTGGCTGATTAAGATGGTGCCACGATAGATGGTACTTTCTAAACTGGGAAATTGTAGATGGGTACTCTTTGAAGTGGTATCTTCCCCAGACCACTGGAAGCAACAGCGATTCATCTGGCAAGCGAGCTATGAATTGCTTTTCTTCTTCCTAAGAGGGCTGATCCCATTACTCGGTCTCAGTTCAGTGTATTGCACCTGTTAAAACAAACAGACATAATGTTCCAGTTAGGTATCCCCAGTACTGTACATGCTAATGGTTCCCAGAGGAGAACAGAAAAGAAAACTCAGGAAGGTTCAAAGGTAATGAATCAGTTTTAGGACAGAGAAACACAGGCTATTAATTGCGAAAAGGAAGACATTGAACCTATATTTAGCTGGATTATAGAAACAGATCTAACTTGGATGGGCTGTTATACCTCCTACTTATATTTGACATGTCCATAATAGTTAAAGAAATCTATAACTCATGAATAAGCTGCATTGGTGATTGAGTAAGTTAAATAATAAAGAAAAATGGCATCAATTCCTCCTTTACTCTTTATCGATCTGTATTCCCTTCTACAGTTTATCAATCTGTATTCCCCTAATTTGTTCTGATTCAAGTTTTTTCACATCCCTTCAAAATGTGTTGACTTATCATTCTGGCCATGCAAATAATGCAAGTCATCAAATTAGGTCCACTGAAAAAAAGTATTCAACAATCCTTTGATACAGCGAACTGCGCAGAAACGCAATCATATGAAACTCAGCCATAATACTCTACGGATATTGGGGTCATGATGAAAACTGATGCTCAAAACTACTGACTAATGTTAGGTTACATATCAAATCATATGAAAATTGGCTGCCTTTCCCTCTGGATGCAGGGTTAGCCCCAGCCAATCCAAAATGGCAATGCTTCAATAAAAAGTAAACTGGTAGCTGCCACTCTACTTCTGTGAACCAGAATTTCAATCACTGCTGAATAAATACACCACAGTTTGGCGATCCAATGTAGACCAGTCGCCAATAAAGACATCAACTGATCACATTTTTCAACAATGGGTTAAACACATCACAGGTCTCAATTTTCATCCTGTGATTTGTTAAAAAAAAATGTGTTTTTACACAATGGAAACAACACACAAAACAATGCAATTGTGTTTTACAACCAAACAGGAATGAAAGAAAGTGTAAGAGAAATCACACACTGTATAATAGCACTGGAATTCCACTGTCTCAGCTCATTTCCACAATTTAAATATAATTTAAATAATTCTGTCTATCACCGGGGATAAAATTATGTTTGCTTCCATACTCACACAGCGTAATGAAGTGTCTCTTTGCTACAAATAGAGTTACCAACAACTGAAAAAATCAGAAAATTCTCATGAAAAGCCTTTAGCCAGTTTATTCAATTGTTATTGCCTCGTGTTATAAACAACTGGCATTCATTTTTGTCAATGTTTACAAAACATTGTATACTTCCCCAGTTTTCAGCTGCAGGATAGTGCATTAATGTGTCTTGTGGAATCATTATCAGTGGGTTTTAAAGCAACCAACCTTTAGGTTAAACATTAAGGGTGGTGAATTTTCAATCCAAAAATACAACCACAGCATCATCAGTTCTTCTTCTCTTCTTTCCAGGTCTCCCTATCACTCTGTTACCTTGCTCCATGTCTATCCTGTTGTTTTGTTCCCTCAGTAAAGATCCTCTCAGAAGACAGAGGTAACATGCCCTCCTTAGGATCTTCCATTGCAGATTATAAATTGATTTGACTCATGGATGGAATAGTGTTGTCTCTTAATAACATTCCATGACTGGTGAATGGGAGAAGTGGCAACACTGCTGAACAGAGGCATTAAGCTGGTGGGAGGTTAAGGATCAGGATCACTGCTGTCCCCCATTACTAAAGCTTCCTGAAAACATGACTGAGCAGAGCATATTGACCACTCCAGTAATGTCACATAAAGCACCTCAAAAGCCCCGAGATCGCATTTTTTAAATGGAATGTGTCTTAAAGTGCCAGCTGTACCTGCTGTATTAGAGCAGTAAGGTTATTCAGCAGTGACCATTTATACAGTGATTACCAAACTGCATGTATGCTTTAGAAGCAAGTGGGGGGGGCAGACAATATACCATACATCTGCATCCACTTCAAATGTTTTCAAAATTTAAAAAAACTTAGCACGCTACATATTTCTATCACACTCACCTTTTGGATGTCTGATGGAACTCTGGAGATGAAGTCAAGCAACTCATTATTATCGATGGTGTAGGGATTTCTTAGCTTCTTAGTGAATTTGTGCATGCCTGTCAACAGAATTTTTTTTAACATTCACTGGGACAGAAGGAACAGTTTTGCAAGTGAAAATTAGTGAGAAAACAATTACAAAGCTGCAGTCACACGTGTATGCCAGCCTTCAAGTCTCAACCTTATTACCACTCTCTATTCTGTCATCTGGGTTCATTAACAAATACCCCCTTTATAAAATCTCATTTTCTTCAATTGCGAAATCCATTACAAAAGCAGCAGCAGGAGAGCCCTCACCACTCCCAAAAGATAAGATTAGTGTTTGGCTTCCGCATTTCAAATCGAAGTTTATTAGCAACACATTTCCACTCCACGCTCTTAACCACTATACAATACTCCAGTGGATTTTAGTCAGCTCCTGACCTCAACATGTTTGGTCCTGCTGTCTTCACACTTAAACAGCGTAAGAGGGTGTGTGTTGTTTTTAAATATTAAAAAAAAGAAGAAAACATCTGTTGATCTTCTTAAATATTAATATTTTACAATCTAAACAAGTCTTGACAAGCTGGAGGCACTTCCAATATTGGAAAAGTGTTTTGTCCAAATAAGAAATAAGTGACAGACAACACGAGGTGTCACCTAGCAGAATACAACTACGTAACATTGTGGAAGGTGAGAGAGACATCACACTAATTTACAATGTAATATATAGCTACATATATATATATAATATCTATGTATGCAATGTGTTTAATTGTTTTTGGAGTTCCACCAATATACCTATAATGCATATGTGGAGGAACAGAACCAAGCTATTTGCTTTTTGCTTTTCCGAGTACCTCAATAACCCTGATCGTTAATGGGCCGTGGGTTTATTTCAGGCATGGTTGGAGGATATTAAGGACTTTCCGGGATAAGCTTTCATTTTCAACTATATATAAATGTGCAGCAATGAATTCAGGTGCCATGGTTTTAACAATTGCTGCTCCTAGTCACATTGCTTCATTAATCTGCTCAAGGATTAAAAAACCATCTGTCTGAATGGTTTGAAATCAAGTCTGCACAAACATTCAGACTTCTAATGTGACAGTGTTCTTTTGTAAGCTATGAAAGGATTCACCACAATCGCGACCCTGCCCATCTGCGTCTATACGTGTGAGAATGAAGTATCTACTGATATCAACTGAATCACTTCCCCTGCGTGGACGACATTTAGCAAAGTGTTACATTACTGACGGCGAAATGAAAGATCACCTTTCATAGAATTATGGCTCGTGTAGCAATCTGAATAAAGCTTCAAAAGTTTTAGTATTGGCTGTATCACATAGGCATAGCTTCTGAACAATATATAAAAACTATTACAATGAGGTCGAACATGTGACGATTTCGAATAGGATTTCTTAAAGAAACCAAATGTACTTCATTTCAGATCACAGCAACTCTGCTTCGGCACAATCTATTTTTGGAGTAAAGTTTGCGTGGGTCGACGCAATGTATTTTCTTGTTTGGAATCCCTCGTCATTAACAAATCCTGCTAGAAATCGCCATGAGTTAGATCCAGTATTAACTCAGCAAAAGAGCTTCGGAGGGAGAGCAAGGTGATTGTTTGTGCAAAGCGTATGCAGCGTAAATGATTAATATACTTCATATAAACTTCTCAGTTTGTGGCCCCAGCAGTTAACTCACTTGCAAGCTATTTATTGCCCTGCGCAAAGCATAAAATTGTTATTATTGTTCAATTATGACTAATTCAAACACATTCTTACCCCAGATCAACAGGAGGTACCTCACCGGAACAAAATACAATACAATTGTGCAAATAGCGAGCACAAAACAGGCGAGCTTGGACAGGAAAGGTACTGACCAGATAAAGACACTATAAATTAAAAAAAGAGAAAATCAAAATTAATTTTGCAACTAACATTCATGTAATCTTTGTGCAGTTCATTCATAATACATGTTATTTCCTATCCGGATTATATTCCTTTGATTTGAGCATGGAAAGACACACAATTATAAAACTGGATATTTCTTTAAGAAAACTCACTCGTTTATTGCCTTTGTTGGAAACGAGAACAGAATCGAATCTCAGCTCGCGGACAAAAGTAGTTTCCATAAACCCTAGGAGCACTGGATTCATTCTGCAGTTTTCCCAAATGAACTCACTTTACATAATTATTGATTTGTAAGTATTATTATGACATAGATTAAGTATTGTCCCAGTAAAAGGAACACTCCAAGGAACAGCATGTAAAAAATATAGCTCAGAAACTAACCATTAGAGTATGTCCTGCTAAAATTGTACTCGTTATTCATTTTTCTTTTTTTTTGCCTTCTTCAATTTTTGAATGCCCTTGTTAATTTATATCAAATTTAATTTGGGCATTCTTTAAAATACCTGACTTACAAAAAAAATTATGTTACCCTTTGTTTCTTCTGGGACACTGCTGGTGTCTTTACTTACCATAACATTCAACATGAAATACAAGTTTATTATTTATTTCCAAATCAGCATCCCTTTATTTTATTGCATTATTAATTTAGGTTCCGACTGCCTTGTGATACAGATACCAGGTGTAAAAGGCCCACCCTTGTGTCTCTACTTCAAAGAAACACAGTGTCTTTCTCCCAGAAATCCTGACTCATATTTCCCTCCTCACCCAAATATACCCCCAAACTCAAGCCATCTGCTCATGCCCTTGTTATTCGTGGAATGTCGCTAACACAAGATTAGCTGCAACATTTGCCTATGTAACAGCATTCACTTTCATTTCTAACCAACCTTATTTCATAAAGCTCTTTAATGCATTTATTATATTTAAAAGTATTACCTAATATGTATTCTTTTGGCTTTCAGTTTTGCACCTGTGTCTACGAGAACAGTCAGTGCTAGCAATGGGAATTATACAAGACGAATTAAGGAAAATGGTTAACGCCAAAAAGTGGGTTGGTGGAAGAATCCAATGATCCAAAAGAAAGACTAGAGAAAGAGAGGGAGGAAGTGTGTGTGACTGGACATCAGGTGAGGAAAGGAGCGGCTCAGCTGTGACATCCCCCATGGTCGAATCGCCTGCCAAATCTATCTATCTCATCTCACAGTTGAAGAATGGTACTTTGGGCAATGTACCAGAGGGCAGTCAGTTCCTGTGGAAACATATCCCAGTGTGACTTAACACCTTCGGGGGGAGGGAGGGAGAGAGATAATACTTGACTAGCATTAACTTCCTGTTTATATTGGGCACATGGGTTGCTAAATTTGATACAAAAGCTGCTAAATTTGACTGAAAAACTCACCAGGTTACTAATCTTAGAAACAATTACATTGATTCAACTGGTATCGCAGTTCTTGCAAACATTATTAAACAATTAAATGGAATTGAAAATCATATCAATGTTGTGCAGCGATAAAACAAAATACTGTACAATGCAGAAAACCCAGCCCAGAAGGGGAAGAGCAAAGGTACATGGATACAGCAGCAAATCATTACGATATCATTAAGATATCATCTGGGTTACGATTTGATAGCATTAATAAACTTTTTGTTCAGCTCTTATAATTAAATTTATAGTGGAGGGAGGGAGATGTGCAATTCTCTGATATTTGACTATATTGGAGTATCAGAGTTGAGTTGTGTTAACCAGACAGATCTAAGTGCCTGCCTGGAAAGGCAGATGTCTAAACGTAAGGGATTTTTCTTATGTGTAATGGTTAATTACGTAAGTGGTGAATTGTGAGAAGCCCTGCAGTCCTAATTTCACCTTTCACTCGGTATAATGAATTATTTTGCTCTCAAAATAAGAATGTGGATATATTTTATTCTTGGATCCAGAAGGTTTATTTTCAATGACCAACTTGCTTCAGGAATTTTGCACACTGGATTTTTGTACTTTGGATTCAATTTCTTTATAGAAGGGAATCAATTCCAGGGAGAGTATGCAGATTCCGTTCAAATTCACTGGAATTTCCAGGTGTAGGTGGAATGCATGGCACTCAGTTCAGATTGGATACTCTTAAGCATGATGATGGGTTTCCATGGAGCGTCAAGACACCAGACTGAGCAAACAAAAATCTAATTTCTTTACAGAAGGAATCAGTTGGACCAAATATAATCTTATTACGTTTCTTGAATCGACTGGGGTAGTTTCAGTGAAACTTTTTTTTAAAAAACATCAACACATCTAATGATTTACTGCAGTTACATTTGCACTGTGAGGCGAGGCCGCAGAGGTAAAATCTATTGGATATAAATTCTCCCTCTTGCTCAATGTAAATCGGAACAGACATTGTATTGTCAACATGATGTGCATCCCATTTAAAACCACTTCCAGGGGGTTTGTCCACTGTTCGGCTATTGTGAGGTTGGCAGGCGTGTATTGAAGTGGGTGGGAAATTAATAAAATTGCCCTGAGGGTAGATTTTGTATTTTTTTAAAAATATATATATATTATATATCTACAGTACAACAGGCGAATTGAGAACCCGTGGAAACAAAAAATTGATCACATTTCCACAAGATTTAGCTTTGGAGTAAATGATTTCTCCATTTAAAATAAATCAAATTGAATTTGCCAGAGATAATACAAGATTTTATTGATCCTTTTCTCTGGCAAAACTGGTACTAAAGTGCTGTGAGGTCAGTGACCCTGTTCACCCACTTTTCCCTCTGAAATCCTCGTGATAACTCTCAAAATCTCAGGCAAGAGTGACAAAGTGAAACTTAGAATGAAAAGGGAGAGCAATGAATTATCGGAGGTGCGTCTTTTGGATGAGATGTTAAACCCAGGTCCTGTGTATGCCTATTCAAATGGATGTTAAAGATCCCATGGCACGATTCGAAAAAGGTAATTTCTCTTGGTGTCCTGGACAACAATCCCCCAGATAAAAATTGCTCTTTCACATCACAGCCATTTGTGGGACACTGCCATGCACAAATTGGCTGCTGTGATCGCCTACAAATATGTCACTGAAAATAAAATAATCCTTACGTTTGATAGTAGAGCATTTTATTATTATCATTAAATGTCTCAAATTGCTTCACAAGATATGCTGGGAAGTGTAGTGACTATGTATTTTGTAGGCAAAATGCACTGTGGAGCAAATCCTTTGAAGCACTTTGAGAGGTTTTGACAACATGATAAGGTGCTTTATCAAATCGCAGGATTATTATTATACTGCTCCCGGACAGGTATCACAAATCCTGGCACTCCCTACATCCGCCAGCAATGGGTAACCCTGCAAAGCTCAAAATAACCTTCTACAACAAAGATTCAACTCCAGCATTGTGGCTGCGGTTACTAAAGGGACATAGTCTATTTCATTATCGGTGCAGATGACTGAAAGATCTCTTTTTGTCCCAGTTATCATCACTTGTCTTCAACTGTGAACCCTACTGCATATTCCCTTCCCATTTTTTAGGTCTCTGCTGAAGCCCTTTCTTTTCGACCGTGCCTTTGGTCACCTTCCTCCCCTGGCTCGGCCCCGGGATCCGTTACTGTAAAGCGCTCTGAGACGCCGTCCGGCGTGGAAGGCGCTATATAAGTCCAAGTTGTCGTTGTTGTTGTTGAAAGTCTTCTCTCCCCATCAGTCTTTCACATTAAAGCTCTTTGTTTGAAACCGAGCTGATTTTATAAAAGCAAACCTGGAACTCCTATTCTAAACGTAGGTCTTGCATTGATGGTGAATTAATCCTCTTTGGTACAAAGAACAGGATGGAAAAAGCCTCAAAAAGGCACCTATTTCACATAAAACTAACTTATTAATTAAAAATCCAGAGTGACATGGCATAATCAAACTTTAATCATTTTACATTAATATATGCATTTGCCAATGGTAGAATCATAATACTAATTTCTTCTGTTTGAAATCCCAGTTACCCCAGGGAAATACATCGGATAACATGCTCACAGCCTCATTATCACCCTTTCGAGGTCTACTTCAATGCACCTGGGACAGAGTTAAAGAGAACGTCCTAAATACATTATAACTGCGAGGATGCAGACAGCTGTCTGTTTGTCAATAAACTAAGCAATAATTAATTACTGCATTGGTGTAAGCACAAAGTGAAACCCAGTGCTTGCACTCCTGTTTCATGTCGCTCACTAATAGTCTGCAAACTCAAGGACACAATCAACTTAGAATAACACTTAATGACACTCTACCTCTGAAACTCTTTATGTGTTGTGATGTGATCTATAGCCTATAAGTCGATAGTTTCTTAAACTAATGTAGTATGATCCAAGATATAGTCTCATTGCTGCATGGGATTGCTCATACAAAATAATTTTTAACATATCCAGGCATTGAGCTACATACCACTCCCTATATTGCAGGAATATCCAGAATAGTAAAATTTCATTGCCTTGGATTTCAGTCATTCATTATTGAAAATGAAAAGAAATAATGATGAATCAGTGTAAGACACTGGTTTGGCCACAGCTAGAATATTGTATGCACTTTTGGGTGCGCATTACAGAAATTAAATAAGAAGCATGGAGAGGATGATAGTGGAGGTTCACAAGGATGATATGAAAGGATATAGCTACGAGGAGAGCAAGAGTGGTTAGGCTTCTTCTCGTAGGAGCAACAATGGTTGAGGGGTGATATGATAGAGGTGTTTAAGATAATGAAAGGGTTTGAGAAAATTAATTGTAAAGCACTCGTTCCGCTGGAAAAGAACTCGAGAACAAGAGAACATGGCTTCAAGGTTGTGGCTAGGTGTAAAAGTTTGGAAGAACTTCCTCTCCCAGAGAGTTGCCATGGTATAGAATAAAATGTCAAGCAAAGCTGTTGCTACAAGAAACTACACTCAAAGCACAAGTAAACACAAATAAATGAATTTAACATAGATAGTAAACAGTATTATCCACACTCGATTTATAGATCCACTAAGGCAAGGTAAATTTATGGTTATTCAAACTGTTAGGTACATTGTTAACTTATAAATGCACTGTGGGATTGACATAAAGTAAGCTAATGAGTTTAGAGAGAATTAAAATTCCTTCTCTTAATTCACTTTTTGAGAACGACAAACGAATTATAAATTGTCAGAATTTATGACAAGGCTGATTGATTGTCTAATGAATGTTTAATCATGTGATGGAGGCTGGTTCAATGAATATTCATATACATGCAGTCAAATTTAATAACCACACTTTAGCGTATCCTACAGAATAAATTTGTTAATTGAGGTATGTCTCCAGTCTTTGCTACAGGCTTTTACAGTGTCATTAAATTGCAAAAAGGTATTGGAAAACACAAAGACCAACAGACATGATTATGAACAAAATCAATGACCAAAAACTATTTATTTGTTGATTAAATCAGAACAATATATGATCACTGACAGTTTTATTGTGTGCCCAGACATTCAGTGTATGATGTGAATGGTGATTTTAAAGGACTACACATTGAGAATATTTTACTGAAGGCTTATTCTCACTTTCAAGAAACCTAGTGAACATAAGAGAAAAAATACTTCCTCTCCGTTTTTGGTCATCCGAGTGTCTGACATGCGAAACCCATCACCATGCTTAAGAGTACCCAAACCATGTTTGTCATGCAAATCCCTGCGTCTGGAATGGAATGTGCACTCTCTCCCGGGAGGGATGCACCCCACTCACCTAATTCCAGAGAGTGTTAGGTTCAGGTTGGCAAGAGCCAAGGCTTGGGAACGCCCAAAGCATACACTGGGGTATTGCTGAAGCTTAACTAGTTAAAATCTTTCCTTCTTAAACATCATTTACAACCAGCAAACAATGCAAAGCCAAAGGCAACTTATCCACTTAAAGGTAAATCTGGAAAGAACAAAGTTTATAGAGTTTGTATTTTCTTGCCCCCATCTAATCCAGTTCAAGAGTATTCAATTCCTACTGTAGACAAGCCATTTCTAGTATTGGAAGAATTGTCTTCAACGCACACGCTTTGCTGGCAATGTAGCTCTGATCATCTGAGCGAGATATTGAACCGCTGTCTAATGGATTTTGCTGCAACATTTTGAAAGTTACTGTACTGTGTTTTATTGGATTCTTTACTTAACTAAAGTGGTCAGATCAGGGGCACTCAGAAGGGCAGGGTGAATATACAAGAAATCGTATTGATGTAATCAGTGACTGCTTCTTGACACAACATGTGAAACAGAGTACAAGATAGATTTAGTGTTTACCAGGCCAACAGAATTACCCCGCAAAGTTGGCTATATAAAAGGAGCTGTCATGCATGGATCACTCAAAAGAAGCAACAATTCATTATAAACAAGTTACAAAAAGATCAGTACGTTAACAAGATCATTGTATGATAAACTATCGATTCCCCTGCTCAGTCAAATTGATAAATTGGGCAAGGGGCTAAGGGAAGGCTACCTATACGCACCTCTCAATGGGCAGTTAGAGAGGAAAATTGGTAGTGGCATGTCAGCCTACCTGCCATTTCAGGAATGCAGAAGACAGTGCAAATAATACCTTACAAACTTTCAGGGAATACAGTGATATTGAGACAATCATTAATGTATATAAAATTGTAACTTTAACAAGATCAAAAAATTATCTCACAAAGGGGCTAAGCATGGCTTTGATAAGACAATATATTTATATTGGCTACACTTAACTACTCACTGACAATTATAAAGCATATTCTTGTACTCTGCACTTACATTGAAATTGAGCATCAACCAAATTAAAATCATGTTACAATGAAGAACTGTATGTAAAATCATGTTACATAGTTTAAAAACAGCCACGATACTTACTTTTTGATTCTCTCTCCAAATGATGCTATTGTATCTAGAATGTTTTGTCCTGAGATGACAATATCTTGAACCATGTGAATTTTATCTATTAATCCCTTCTTCTCCAAGTCCTGAAACACAAAACAAGCAAATTTGTTAAATAAATTGAAAGTTTTTTTTAAAAAAAAGAAAAAGGCGCTTTTGGAACATGACTAGAACATTAACACAGTCCTGGATACAACTTCAATGGCAAGTGATGAAGCTGTTGAGGTTCAAGGATGTCTAATGTTCTGATGTCCAGGACTCCGATGATGTGATAATTATCACCAAATTACCATCGGGGATAATTATCACATTGGATGTCACAATTTTCAACCTCATATTTGTCATTCCATGGTTATTCACTTCATGGCTGTCTATGAGCCAGTGACGTATGTATATTGGCTGCTGGGTTTGCTCACAAAACACCCATTCATCCACCTTGCAATATATCCTGTGAAGTACTTTGGGACATCCTTCTGATAATAAAGGGATTTTAACAAATGTAAGGATTATTATTTTTTGAACTACACATCAACTACCTCTTTGCAACATGAAAAGAAAATCTCCTAACCTAGCCTTTTGCTCTTCTTGTTACTATCCTATATCCTATATTTATGGGTAACCTTTCAAATGCTGAATGAAAATCTTCAATAGCAGTGGTAATGTTTTAATGGGTGAAAAACAGTTTCCATCAAATTCATCCAGCGCTAAATATGGACGTACAGTCCAAATTGAGAGTAAAGCATAAATCACTCGATGTATATAGTATAAATTTCTCGAGAAAACATCAGATCTAATGTCATTTCTCAATTCTGTGGAAGGATTTGGCTGGCAGTGCAATAGGGCTGTTAATCACACAAATGACAACTGAAAAATAACTAATCGTATTCACTTCCACAGAATCTACCCCAGTTTGGAAACTGGTGTTTGCTTTGATGCAGTTCAGTAATGTAAATACAGTTTGTTTCCTCAGCCCAACCATGAATAACAGCTGGGCATCAGTGGCAACCATGCATGAAACACTGTCTGCCGTTTGCTGAGAGTGAGAATGGGCAGCGTGCTGTTAATGCTGTGGAGTTGAGTAAAGATTCCCTACGAATATCCAGGACAAGTTTACACTTGTAGCTTTATGTGCAAAGTACAACTGACAGCAGAAGCCTGCCTCATGCTGGGTTTCTTCTCACTTTCTGATCGAACAACACAACAAGATGAAAACACTACTTTACAACAGAATGCATTACTGCCCACAGAAGAAAGATTTTGTACCGACTCCAGTGTGAAACAACACTTCATTGTAGCTTGTGTCAAAATAAAAGCAAAACACACTGTTTTCCAGACTAGTTTACAACCTCCATTCTGAATCAATGTTCTCCCATCTCTAAACAATGTTTTATCACCTTTAGGCAGAGGATTACATACAGTTACCTAGACAGTTGCAGATGGAAACAGACTATTTGGCCCAACAAGTCCATGCTAGTATATACACTCCATAGAAAGTTAGGCTCCATCCCTCCTAATCCCCTATCTTGCATGCATCAAGTTTCTTCTTAAATACATTGATAGTTTATATTTATAATAATAATTTTTGCATTTGATGTCTTCGACGCCTCTCAAAGCGCTTCACAGAATATACTGTAAAGTGAACTGACTGTATATTTTGTGGGCGAAATGCAGCAGCCAATTGCACACAGCAGCGTCCCACAAATAGGCGTGGATTGAGTGACTGATTTGTTTATTTACTTTCTGCTTCAACCACAGCATTCAGCAGCGAGTTCCACATTCTCACCCTCCTATGTAATTTTTCCCTTGGCTTTTAATCTTAAATCTGCTTTGACATACTATACACTTGCAAGTCACAAGTGCCAGAAAGAAAATCCCCATTTGCCAAGCTCCCAAACTCTGTTGTACCTTCGGGGAGCTGCCAAAAAGGAGGCTAAGTGCTTTCCCACAGAGATGAAGGAACAGTCATATCACACTCTGCTCATGCACTTCCCAGCGACCATCTCAAGAGCAGGCCTGCTTGTTCGCCTTGTCCAACAGGGAATGATGCTGTGCACGGAGACTTGAAAAAGGGCACGAAAAAAGATTTAAAAAGAGTGGGAAGAGACTAAAACCTTCACATATGGAAAATAATTGTGTTCATTTAGCTTTAACATACTGTTGCTACCATTTCCACTCCAACCTAGTGTATAAGGTTGTGTGTTGTGGGTCATTTCAAAACACCATTAACCTGGGCTGGATGTGAACCTACATCTCAGAGGTTGAAAGCACAATGCTCCTGCAGACCACGATATTTAAGGTTTCTTTACCAAAAGACTCATGTCAGTCGTACAAACACGTATGCATGTCAATGGCAGATTAGCGATGAGTAGCTCAAAGCAGCAAGAGGTGAACACTTCAGCACTTAACACTTTGGTGCTACAAAGCATTAAAGTGCATCCATCTGAAAGAGTTACTCTGAATGAACCTTGCCCTGCAGATGGCATTTAAGAAATTCGACAGACTGAATAATATTTCCATTGCCCAGTGAAAATACAGTTCAGGAGACAAGATCATATATACACAAAAAATATACAAATGGGTGAATCACCATTTGCTGCAGGCAACTTATTTGGGTGTATTTATATTGTTTGTTTCTGTGGCAAATCACCAAGATTTTGGAAGGGATTGGACACAGATGTCGCCACTTCTGCTTTGAATTCTGCCCCAGGAGAATAAATGGGACAAATACCTAGTTGTTTAGTATCCTGCAAGCTAAATGAATCAATATTCCCAGTTTTCAGCTGACCAGCAATTCTAATCAGCAGACACAGGTTAGTGTTAAAAACGAGGTAATGTTGTTTCCTCAATCATCTTGAATCCTTTTGAAGATACCAAAGCCACAACACACATGCTGCTTGCAACAATATCACCGCTGCAGGGAAGTGGTATCTCATCCTTTCCTTCTGAAGCATAATTTAAATCTCTTCAACCAGATGTTAATTGTTGGGGTAGAAAAGAACCCGTAGGTTATGAATCATAGAATCACAGAAATTTTAGCAAAGGAGATCTTTAGGAACCTATCGAACCTATGTTGAAGCTGTCTACCCTAATCTCAGCTCTATGCCTGTGCTTCTCTACATTTTTTTTAAACCTTGAATCCAATTTTCCTTTAGACCTTAAGTCAAATTTATCCCGTAGATTCGGGGAGAAGAGCAAACTTGTTATATGTCTTCTCTGTTGAAATGGAACCCAAATACTTGTGTCATTTCAAGAGTGATCTGTTTCTTGAATGAAATTCTGGCACAGTGGGTGCAAAAACATTCTTTCTTGTGATTTTAATGGACGATTCCTGGACTGAGGTTTGTCTTGTGGTAATGATTTTTTTCTCTCGATGAAATCCTCACAAACTCTGATCTAATTTGCGGGTTGTGTTAAGCATGTTTAAGCACGAGAAGGATTACAGGCTCCCTTAGCTATATTAACAATCGTTAATCCTTTTCATTGGGCGCTAATTGCATAATTAAGGGTAACCCGTAATCCCCCTCCCTACACACACGTTTACACATGGTTTACAGAACTCGCAAATTAGATCCCAGCACCCGCCTAATGAAACACAAACTAGCCTCAGCATGAGCAACACAAAATCGCCAAAATCGGATCAAGTGAATCAGATGAAATCAGATCAAACGTCATTCTGTACACAAGACAATGCCCTCCATATAAAGCAAGCTCACAGAACAGTGGCAAATCAAAGGAAAATATGTTCTTCAATACATCAGGCAATAATTACATGATACAACTAGATGAGCATCACCACTCAAGATTAATGTCACGTTCCATACGCCAGAAGCATATCACTGAATGTAGCCCTTTCAATTGGATTGGGGGAGGGGGTGAAAAGAGATGTCATACCCACAACCAGATGAGGTATTCAGTAACCTTGTATTTATCAATAATGCGATAATTATCACAGGGGATAATCCTCACTATCTTATATTTATTTCTCTTGTTTATGGACACCCCAACCAATGGAAATGTATCTATGTTAACATTATTGAATCCTTTTATAATTTTAAACACATTGGTCCAAGCACACACCATTCTCGAAACTAAAGGATGATTAAAGCATCCTAGAGACGTAGCAAGACTTTCTCTTATTCTGCATAATTACAATGACAACTGATCAAAACAAAGCACAACTGGAGTGCATGGCAACAGATTTTGGCGGTTGGGTAGGAGCCCAAAATCACATTGGTTAAAGGCTGGAAATTGGTGACAGAAAGTCAAGTGTGCCTGTCAGGCAAACATATCTAGTCCATCTGCCAACAAAGGCCTGGAAGAATCATCAACTGAACCTTAAAGTTGGAATCAGTCAAAAGGAGAACTGACAGCAAGAAGTTATCATCAGACTACCCTAGGACGTATATAAAAAGCTGCCAATCTTTTTAAGCGGGCGAGCCTTTTGAGGGTCTGAAGCTCAAATGCAATTCCTCATCTTACTTTGTGTTTTTTTGGAATGAATCTAAAATATCTGTCATTTTTGCATGGTAGTAGCATAAAACCCAGTTCATAGTTGGAATTTTGCTGACATTAGACCATTTCAAATCAGGCTGAAGTGAGCCAATTTCCATTGAACTTAACCTGGTTCACTCATGTCCAGTTCAATATTACTTTTCGGCATCTGTGCTGTTTTGCACTAAGACTTCATATCATTGATCTGTAGATGGCTGGATTTTCACAGAGTTTTCTAAAAATCACAGTACTTCGTTAAAAGTAAATTCCGCAAAAGATAAATCTTAACTCTCGCAAAGACTATTGAGCGTCATTTTTAAATTTGTGCTGGAAGCATGGGAATAATAACACTCTGTAATAGAGTCTAAAGAAACACTTTCTGCAGACATCATCTTCTACCTTTAACCCCATGGGAAAACACATCAAGGCACAGGCCTCTTAGCCCTAAGTGATCATGAGTCACCTCACAACAAATTAGACCACATATTATAACAAACCAGGACAACACTGAGCTTTTAACATTTGAGGGCCGTGGAGACATTCTGAAGCTTTTGCTAAATGCCACCTTGTATTTAACAAGCTGTGCTCCTCCACT